ATCACTGACTGTTGGTACTTGACGCTGGACTTCAGGCATTTTAGCATTTCCTTCTCCACAGTCTTCCTCCAGACTCTGGCGCTTTGATTTCCAGATGCCATGCAAAATTTGCTTTCATCTGAAAAAAGTACTTTGGACCACTGAGCAACAGTCCAGTGCTGCTTCTCTGTAGCCCAGGTCAGGCGCATCTGCTGCTGTTTCTGGTTCAAAAGTGGCTTGATCTGGGGAATGCGGCACCTGTAGCCCATTTCCTGCACACGCCTGTGCACGGTGGCTCTGGAAGTTTGTACTCCAGACTCAGTCCACTGCTTTTGCAGGTCCCCCAAGGTCTGGAATCAGCCCTTCTCCACAATCTTCCTCAGGGTCCTGTCACCTCTTCTCGTTGTGCAGTGTTTTCTGCCACACTTTTTCCTTCCCACAGACTTCCMACTGAGGTGCCTTGATACAGCACTCTGGGAACAGCCTRTTYGTTCAGAAATGTCTTTGTGTCTTACCCTCTTGCTTGAGGGTGTCAGTGATGGCCTTCTGGACAGCAGTCAGGTCAGAAGTCTTATCCATGATATTGGTTTTGGTAATGAACCAGGCTGAGACCTTTTAAAAACCTCAGGAATCTTTTGCAGGTGTTTAGAGTTAATTCATTGATTCAGATGATTAGGTTAATAAGTTATTTAGAGAACCTTTTCATGATATGCTAATTTTTTGAGATTGGGRTTTTTGAATTTTCTTTACTTTTTTGCCAAAATCATCCATTTTAAAACAATAAAAGGCTTGAACTACTTCAGTTGGTGTGCAATGAATCTAAAATATATGAATGTTTAATGTTTATCAGTTCATTATAGAAAATAGTGAACTTCATCCCAATATGCTATTTTTTTGAGAAGGACCTGTATATTAATTGGAGTATCAATACCTGTATCCACATCGGTTCTGGGTATCAGGGTACTTGGTACGAGTACTTGTATAAATGCTGGTATCTATATTTATACCACTGGAAGAGACTGTCAGTGTTGCTGGTTACTGTTATCTCAACACAGCTTATGCTATGTTCTTAATGCATGCAAGTTATTTTTCCGCATTTAGTGAGACGCTTAATCAACACTGATTGTAAATTACTTAAAGGTCCCCTGAAGTACCAACAGGTAATGTTTTTGGTATTCCAGGATATTTTTGAGACTGCATGGCATATGATGTCTCAGAAAAACTTCCAGAAGGTGTCTGTGGTTGGTTCTGCACAGGATATGAAATCAGATTCAGTGCAGACGGACTGTAACGGTACTTCAAACAGAGGTAGTGTCTTTATTTCTATCACCAGTTCTTTTTTTATTATGCGTGTCTCTACAGTTATAAACTATTTGTTTATTCCCTTTCAGGCCTTTTACAATGGGCAAAGAAAGCACCCACCCCAGACCAGCTTGATGACCTGGATGATGTGGATCTTTACACAGCAAATGAACCAAAAAGCCTGACAGATCAAGTCTCTGATTGGAAATCTGTTAAATCTTCTCAGTCCTCAGCTGATCAGAATGCTACAAATGGGACAGGTCTTTGGACTGATGAAATGGGCCTCAGTAGTGACTTGGAAGAAGAGGCCCAACTTTCTTTAGCTATCCAATATTCTATGGAGTCAAGCAACTGTCTCCTGAAAGATGACGAGGAACAGCTTAAAGAAGCCTTGGAGTTGTCTAAGCAACTGATCCAAGATGAACGCACCTCCAGTATTACTGACAAGTCTCCCTTGTTAGAGCAACAGAAAAAGAAAAAAAAAGGTATTTCTTTAGAGGACTCGATAAAGGCAGCCAACATCGTTGAATTAAGTGTGTTTGCCGGTTATAGCTGTGACCTGATTCGGGTGGACATTGCCTTTGGTAAGAAAGTGAGCCAGAGACAGGTGGAGGAGAAACTGGAGCATCGAAACATAAGGCAAATGTCTGAATACCACCATAAATGTTTGGACATGATCAAACGGAAACATGCAGTTGAGATTCAGATTCAGGGAACCATCGTTGCCATTTCTGGTTTCAAAGACTACGTGACCAGTGCAATGTGTGACATGAAGCTGCTGGTAGAGAAAATTTCTAATTCTGTGTCCAATAAGGAAATCCTTAAGACTGTTCATTGGGTACGACATGACCCGTCCTCCTCCGACACAGTTCCTTATTCTGATGACGCGTCAGTATTCATTGAGAATGCTTGGAGATTGAAGCTTAAGAAGGTTGATATCTTGCTTGACAATCAACCCCACATTATCAGCTTTGACAAGATGCAAGAATATAACATGGCTTCAGGGAAGTCTGTGAAAATCTCCAGGAAGTTGAATGAATTAGGAGACGTGACACAGGATGTACCAGGTAAGTGGAAATTTGTACAGCTTTTGGACAGTTTATGGAGCCATGAGACTGACAGACTGTGGCAAAAGTCAACAATGTAATTAAATACAACTTTGGTTTGGGTAAGAAAACTCTACAATTAACAGAAAACAAGTTAACAAAGATAGCCTGCCTCCGCCCCCCTTTTTTTTGCTATAAAATCATTTTCAATGCATCATTGTTAATTTTGTATAATTTTGTAAAAATGCAAACTGTTGAAAATCATGGCTTTAGCTGTGCTTAGTAGGAAATACCTCAAAAATGGTTCTGAAGTTTTAAAGATGGCAATGATACATATTTTTCAGGCACAAAGTTCAATTGTATACCACAATCAAGTAACTGTGCTACCTTCAGTTGTTACGAAAAAGCTGTATATATTAAAAATAAATTTGGCTTTGCATCATAGCCTATCTAAATGTCTAGAAATTGACCTTTCTTTAAGAATCTCCTACCGTTATGGCCACTCCCACTTCATGCTTTCAAACAATGCTTTTAGTGGAGGGGTGCTCTACACGGGGGAGTTCAGCTGCAGACTGAGCTTCCAGGAGGAGCTTTGTGTAAATAGGTGGTGCTTTGTACCAGCAACCTTTTAGGCAGCTCTACATGGCTACCACAGGAGATTTAAGGGTTTCTTAAACATGCATGAATGAGTTAAAGCCACACTCTGGGTATAGCTTTTGTTGAGGAAATGACGTTTTAAAATGATAAAAAGTGAAAAAAAAAGTGTATTTTTCGTAATGCCTCGTTTTAAGAGCTTGTTGAGGGCCATTGGGTCTAGGGATAAGTATTTTAATCAGAAACACCCTTTCAGCTCACTGTTAATATTTAAACATTGTTTGAATATTTTGGTAATCTCTAATTCTATGTCAAACAAGAAAATCCCCCACTCCCCTCTCACATGTTTTATATTTCTATTTCTATTAGGATTTTTGTAGCTTAACCCTGCTTGTAAGCAAAACCTAAACTGAATTCACATGTTACACATTTTACACATCTAACTCAGAAATAATTAGGACCAAGCTTTGGACCCCATTAGATATTTTGATCCTGATGAATATACCAGAAAATGTCTCTCTCATGGTGCTTGCACAGAAGTTTCTTGGTGCAGAACAACATATCCATTACATGTGAAGAAGCTTAAAATATATATTTACAAATTAAATTATTTTAAATAGGTTGTAGACAAAATATTGCACACGGCTAATATAGACTTATGAACTTGTATGTGTTTAGACAGTGTGTGGCTATAAAAAGTGCATGTATGTGTTGAAGTCTAAGATGACTCCCTTTGTCTTATGTTCAGAACAAAAATGTTAACTGGACTACATGGTATTGATCTCAAGACTTCATCCCTGTAGGCAGTCTCATCTCCTCCCAAGGTCAATCCCACCACAGTAGTGTCATTTACAAACTTCATTATGGTGTTACTTTGGTAACACCTCCTGAACAGAGCTACAGTCATAGGTTTATAGGCGGTGAAGAAAGGGACTCGGCACACACCCTTGTGGAGAACTGGTGCTGAGTGCGCTGTTGTTGGGCAAAATCATACTGTGTTAAATTTATCATCAGTAAAACTGTCACCAGTTAACATTTGCCACTTGTCAATATTGTCCAACCCTAGACAGCTGTGGGACAAGTTTCACCATCTGGGGTCGGTTGTTGAGGAACTCTTATACCCACTGGCAGGTGGATGGAGGGAGACCTAGGTCGGTCAATTTACTGATTAGGATGTCTGTTAAGGATAGTACTGGAAGCTGAGCTGCATTCACATATGAGGGGAGAGGGGGCTCGAGCATCCTGATGTAGCTCTCACAATGTTCATGTTGGCTCTGCACAGTGCAGAGGGTTGTGGCTATGGCATCCTTTGTTGATTGGTTTGCCCTGTAAGTGAACTGATGTGGATTGAAGGTGGAGGGAAGGCAGGATTTGACATGGTAAATGATAATTAACTTGAGGGCCACAGTACAAATGTCATTGAGAAAAGCAGTGGATGATTTTTTATTGTATTTTTGGGGTGTGGGGTGGACCAGATTAATAGTGGTTGTTTTTAGATGGGTTGGCTCAGTGGTCTACAGCAGAGAGCAGTTGAACGGAGTTTTGAAGACCTGGCCCAGTTACCCCGCACAGGCCTTTAATACTTTCCTGGGAATTCCCTCTGATCCAGTGGCTTTCCTGGGATTCACACTGCTCATCACTTGCCTCATATCACACTCCTGCACTGTCCATAGGGTGGGGGTGTCAGTGATAGGTTGGGCTGTGGTTAGGGTTAGACTAGTTGAGGCCTCAAAGTGAGCAAAGAATCTGTTTAGCTCCTCTACCAATGGGGCACATGAGTCACTAGTTGTACTGAATCTATCTGAAATTTGTGATCTGCTGGATACCATGCCAGTGTTGTTTACTGAGAGGCGAGCCTCTATTTTGCTCGTCTTCGCTGCTTCGATCCCTCTGCTCATGTCAGTTTTAGCCGTGCTGTATTGAGTTTTGTCCCCCGACCCTTGAGCAGCTGCTAGACCTGGTCAGTTATCCACTGCTTCTGGTAGGGGAATTTCCAGATGGTTTTCTATGGTGACATTAACACAGAAGGTTTAGAAGAGCCACAGTGTGTACAGCCAGGTCCTGATGTTCAAAGACATCCCAGTCTGTGTGGGAGAAACAGTCCTGGAGCTGCGTGTGTTTCTGCTGGGCAGGTGGTTGTAATCTTTTTCAGGGGTGTAAATCACCAGCTATATCACGATACGATATATCGATTTGTTTGGATGACAATACAATGTTTCTCAATATTACAAAGTGTGTCATGACACAATTTTGATTCAAATGACAAGTCTGCGATCAATTTGATGCATATTATTATTATTATTATTATTATTATTATTATTATTATTATTATTATATGCTCATCTAACACATGATTGTGTTAGATGAGCATATGATTGAGCATATGATACCAATATAGATCAGTGTTTTCCTTTTGCCTCGATGTATTTGAATCATTGATTTAATTGATATTATCGATGTGAATCAATATTGTTAACCCCCTAATCTTTATGTGATGGCCTGATCCTTCTGTAGGTGTGTAAGCTGGGGTGATGTCCTGAAACGAACACGTTTGACAAAAATGCAGTAATTTATGCTTTTTAAACTTTATTTTTTACTTCTCCCACTGTTTGTTGTTTGTGTTACATTTTTGACTGGTGTTGCTCACCATTTGTCAGTTTTGAGGCTCCATATACTTGATGATCATTTGTGTTACTGATTTAAAAAACATACTAACTAAACCATTCAACTACAGAAGAAGAATACTCACTGCTGGCAAACTTGCCTGAAGTATCTAAAGTCAGTGAGGACTCTGATGAATTTCAGGATGTGGTGAAAAATTTCTATGGCACCATACAGGAGTATCACAGCAAAATAAGAATCATACAGGTACAAAAAGAGACAAATCATAACATGTTATAACGATGATGCATTAGGCTCACTCAGAATTAAAATGAGAAGGAAGATTTTTTTGGCTTTGTTTTTGAAGCTTCGACATTAAGGTCAAAATGTTGAAAAAAAAGTTGTGACAGAATTTGCGGAATAAAGGTAAAATTGGGAAAAAAGGAATTTATTCGGGGATTAAATGAAGCGTCATTGCAGAACAGAGGTAAAAAAGTAAAACGGTAGCTAAAATCAGCAAAACTGAAGATAAAACTACCCAAGCAGATTCTGAAATCTCAAGGAGACAAAAAGTGAGCAAATATGCTGAAGTAGATTGCAGAGATCCAGGTTTTTGAAAGAAACAAAGAAATCTCATCGAAATTTTGTAAATAGCTAAATAGTTCAAATGTGTAAAAGTTACAAATACTGTAAACCGTAGCACAACATTGCCAATCAAGCAGAATATTTTGATAGTTGAATGGTTGTGACAGCAGTTTACAGAGGGAGCCATAAAGAGGCAAACAATCGCATGAATATTGAATTAGCCACACAGTTATGAATGATATTTGTATAAACCGATGATGATTTGAGACGTCTGAGACTCTTAATGTGAAGGATTGAAGGAGGTTCGGTGCGTTCCACTGGCGTGATTGATGACGTAATAAAGACAGCGCATCAAACTAGCTCAAGAAAATGACTTGGCTGCAATAATGGTGAAAAAAAAAACAGGATGAAGAGGACGAAGTGGTTCACTTCCTTGAACTTGGTTCGGAATCACTTCCCACATTTTTCTCAACATTTTGACTTTAATCTCAACTTTACCACTTTTTTTTCTCAAATCTTTGAAACCAAAACCATTTGAGTGGCCTAATCCATCGTCATGTGATATTGTGGTTCTGTGATGACACTGAATGTTCTTCCCAGGTGGAGAAACTCATGAATCGACTGCTGTACAATCAGTACAAGCTGAAGAAAGCGAGCATAATTCAACAATCCACACACCCAACAATTGAACGAACTCTGTACCACGGCACCAGTGAGGCGAGCGTTAAAGAGATTTGTGTTCATGGATTCAACAGGAGCTTCTGTGGAAAAAACGGTACACTCAAATGTGTCTTTTCTTGTTTATCTTGCACTCAGGTTGTCATCTTAAATATGTTTCTAATCTAAACGTATGTTTCCCCACACAGCCACTGTCTACGGTCAGGGAGTGTATTTTGCCGTCAACTCTGCTCTGTCTGTCCAGGATCAGTATTCACCCCCAAACACAGACGGATACAAGTTCATTTTTGTGTCAAAGGTTCTAACAGGAGACTTCACTAAAGGCTGCCATTCAATGAAAACGGCACCGCTGAAGGAGACGGGCGATATTCCCCTCAGATACGACAGCGTGACTGATGACATAACCAGCCCAGCGATGTTCGTCATCTTCAACGACACACAAGCTTTTCCAGAGTATCTCATCACATGTCAACGAATCCACCGCTGAGTAAAATGGTTTCATTCAGAGAAAGGACTTATGTTCTTAGTGTCTAATATGATTTAGAACGTGCTTTTACAAGTTAAAGGGCTCCATTTTTCAGTGCACAGTTTGATCAAAAACAAGCTTTATCAAATTCTTTAATGCGTCTTTAGTTTTATTTGTACAGTGGAAGAAAAATCCCATTTTTGTGAAAATGTCCTTTTTAGTGTCATGTCTTATTGTGGGGTCTTTATAATACTTGGCATTTAATTTGACAACTTTAATAATCAGTTTACTACTTCCTGATGATCCTGGCCTATTTCATTAATAGGTAACTAGCTTAAAGGGACAGTTTTGCCTTTTGGTGACATTGCCAAACATTTATCATGATAGATGATGTATTATACTTAATCAGCACCATATTGCACCACAAGCGTGGAGGCTAAGCTAACTAAAACAATACTTAAATAGAAAATTAAAATAAACCTTGACAATAAACACAAAGACCCCAAATTTTAAATTAAAGAATCAGTTTATATATATGTTTACAAAACTTGTTGTGTCATAGTCTCTTTAAAGCAAGCAAACTTTTTTCTTGCCTCTTTGGTTGGTTTAAGAGTATAGGTTGAATCAAACCACAAAAATTCAGAAATTGCTATAAAAATGGGTTAACAGCAAAAATATTTAGTTCTAGGTTATATTTTCATGTCTTTGTCCTGCTGGGAGTTTTGTCACCTTCAGTGCTTTGAGTGTTTTTGTCTTGAGGTTAATATGAGTGAACAAAGCTAAAAGACTGGAATTTATTTACAGTTGTACAGAAGCTGGCTACATGCTGTTATTGGTGGGCTTTTTTTTACAGCTCTGAGTTAAATATCTTATCTTATGATAAATAAGGTAGTTTTAAATTGGCGAAAACAAAACTTATTGTGAAAAACTCAGCTTCATCGTTAGCACGACTGTCAGGACTCTTGACAGATGATCTGTAACAAATGTTGATCGTTGTTTCCTGATGTGACGTTTTTAACTTGAATCATTTGCCAACTTGACTCCCGACTTTCAATGATGTGTCTCTTTTTATTTTTGTGTGTTTTTCAAAATTAGTAATCGTAAGACATTAAGTTTTGAGTTGAAGTACATATTTTAATCTGTTATTAGGAGAAAACAAGCTCTCTTTAAATGACATTAGGGAAATGTATTTCTAAGCATGTCCTTTATTGTGTTGCATATAATTCAGATAATACAAACTTTATTTAATAAAGCCAAGCTTCACCCTAAAGCCCATCAAGGTGATGATAATGAAAATGTTGGTGTCTTGTTCCAAATGCTAAAATTTGACAAAGATGCGACTTAATCAGGATTATATTTTCTTTTACACTTTGAATCAGTACATCTGTTATGTTGCTACTTTAAAAGTTTTTGCATTAATCACTGTGCACTTTGATTGAACTTGTACTTTTTTTTAAATAAAACTTAAATATTTTGTGTTGAGCTTTTTGATTTTTAACTTTACAATTTTACTTGAGCACTAATACTAACACTATACTATTAAATAACGGTACTTGGCAAATTTTAGAAGTGTTCTCACAAGTCTGAGTTTCCTTCATTCTGTATAGTTTATGTATCATGACTTTAAAATTCTGCTTTTAAGCATTTTTATAAATAAGAGTAAAGATTTGGGGCACACTTTAAACCTAATTTTTTTAAAAGAAAGTGTAAAATAAATGTCAATATACAATTGTGGAAAATATCCAGTGATTTTGAAGGTTTAAAGACCATCCATTCATCCATTATCTATACGGCTTCTCAGTTCACAAGCAAGCTAAAAGACTGCCTGTATATTATTATTTTATTATATCTCCCCTGTTTTGTCATTCATAATTAAAGGGGACATTTACACACCTAGCAATGAAAAAAATAAAAATAAAGGCCTGGGATGGCCCTGTTATTGTTTAAGCTTTCATAATGAAATCTATAGTTTTTTAATAACAAAAGTAATGTGATAAACCAACAGCATATTTCATACTGTATATCACTTACAATACTACATTTGGGTAAAACCAGGTCAAAAGTGTAGTTTCATGCCACAGTGTACTTGCAGTTGACTAAACTGATTTGAGCATTTTTTTTTGTGTAAAAAAACTAGAAAAGGTCAGCTTGCCTGCGCTATGGATCTGCACATGCGCAGAACCGCTGCGGGCAGCGACTGCGCATGCGCGGCAGTGTTAGCACACTAAGCTAACTGCGAGTTTATCCGGCGCTGGCTAACAACCTTTGAGCCAGTATAACTCAAAATATGACTCCTTGAAAGTGAACTGGAAGGTATACAATAAATCGAATAACTGACAACGTATCGGACATAGGTATGCTCACATGTATAATTGACTAAAACCTCAGTTTATTGCTTTGCTGCTATGTTAGCTTTGGCATGTTGCTAGCGTTTGCGAGCGGTTTTCATACATGATTCGTTACCCTAAAGCTAACAGTTAGCTGTTTACCTTTTTTAGAGCCACATTTTGGCTTTGTGAACATGAGCAAAACTGGTATTAAAAAAGACTAATGGAAAATTTTAAGCCAGCTCCTGTTTTTTTTTTTAAATTCATTTTCTCAGTAAATCCTTGCATGTAAGTCTAGCCTGGATGTTAACACATCCGTAAATCATGCTATAAAGATTAGTGGCTACAGCATTCATTAAAAACTTAATTTAAGTTGAACATTGTTTCTCACCTATTCTAGTTTAATTTCCCGGACGACTTTAGGTTAAAAAAAAAACCGTGGTTTTGACATGTTGCTGTCTCCTGTCAGATGCTGAGGACAGACGTCCAGGATGTATGCTGTGTACAGACAAGCCCACACCCCCACTGCTGTGGAGTTTTCTGTCTACTGCAACTTTATATCCAGCAAGGAGAAAAATCTAGTCGTTGCCGGAACGTCTCAACTCTACGTTTACAGGATCGTCCATGATGTGGAGGTAGGTTCTGCGCGTTCACGTTGTGGATCCTGGCTCCGAAAGATATGTGTAACATTTGTGTTTTTCTTTCAGACTACGTCAAAGACTGAAAAGTCATCCGGTACGTCAATAAAACCTAACTCATTTATTTTATTATTAAGAAAATAATGTGTGTTTGCTGAGACTTGACTGTCCTGTTGCAGATGCCAAAACTCGTAAAGAGAAGCTGGAGCAGGTGGCGTCCTTTTCTCTCTTTGGCAATGTGATGTCAATGGCCAGTGTGCAGCTTATAGGAGCCAACAGAGATGCACTACTTTTAAGTTTCAAGGATGCCAAGGTATCGCTTTGTGTTACAGGCACTGCTTTAACAAACGAGTTGATTTCACTGATCTGTGTGTGTGTTTGCTCTCTCACCAGCTGTCTGTAGTTGAGTATGATCCTGGGACACACGACCTCAAGACCTTGTCTCTGCATTACTTTGAGGAGCCAGAGCTCAGAGTACGTAGTGGAGGAAAAGAAAATGCTGAGACCCGAATTAGATGTTGTTTAGCTAATACTTGTTTTGTGTTTTGTTTTAGGATGGCTTTGTGCAAAATGTCCACATTCCGATTGTCCGTGTCGATCCAGAGAACCGCTGTGCTGTGATGCTTGTTTATGGCACTAAGCTTGTGGTGCTGCCATTCCGAAAGGACACGCTGACTGATGAGCAGGAAAGCGGAGTGGGAGAAGGGTACGAACATGTCCCTGTTTCCCTCCTCTGTCCGGTTACTGTTAAATTTTTTTTTTACTGACGCAGAATCTCATTTGCAGACCTAAATCCAGCTTCCTACCCAGTTACATCATCGATGTTCGTGAGTTGGATGAGAAGCTGTTGAACATCATCGACATGAAGTTCCTTCATGGTTACTACGAGCCCACGTTGCTCATTTTGTTTGAGCCCAACCAGACGTGGCCTGGGTGAGTTCCTGTCATCTGGTGCAGTGACATGTTGATGTTCTGAACAGATTTTCAGATAGATTTGACAGGTTTTACCTCCTTGCGGCGTATGTTTTGTTTTTAGTCGCGTGGCTGTTCGTCAGGACACCTGCAGCATCGTCGCCATCTCCCTCAACATCATGCAGAAGGTTCATCCTGTCATCTGGTCCCTCAGTAATCTGCCTTTCGACTGCACACAGGTCATGCCTGTCCCCAAACCCATCGGTGAGCTCAAACAATCTTACCAGCGTGGTCGCATAACTCCCTGCTGTGTGTCGGATTTAAATTTACACTGCACAAGGTTGCACAAGTTTGTCTTTGTTGTGTTGTCTTACAAACTGGAATTTAGGTAGATTTGTATTTTATATGTATACATGGATAAGTTGTATGAATAAAACTCCAGATTATTGATGTAAATTGAGTGCTAAAGGTTTCAAATAATCCTAAAAATAACTGGAAAGTGATGTGTGCATTTGTGTTTATTTTAAATAGGTCTTAATTTTCTAACTCCCATGTAACGCAAGGTTCAATACAATGCACCTGCGATCAATCCTCTTATTGATTAGAATGGTTTCATATTTGCTGCAAAGCTCAGAGCGGAGCACAGCGGAGATGCATGTAGTGTAAATTGAGCGTTGGCCTCATGCAAGAACATGTTCATATTCTTATCCTAAATTTCTCTTACTTTTGTTCGTACAAAGGGTTCGTACGAACATGTCACGTCAGATTCAACAAACTCTTCTATCTTCAGGAAAAGTGCGTAAATGAGCAGCGTAAATTCCACCTGTTCGTATCCAGCTGCTCGTGCACGCGAGAGGAGATTAGCATAATTCCTACCCCAAAAACACCATATAAGGCTATGTTTCCTGCCTCAGATACAAGGAAGTGTTCATTCATGAAAATAACAGCGAAAACTAAAAAGAAAAACTTTATGAGTTCAGAGATTGAAGTCCGTCTGTCAGAGATCCAGAAAAGAAAATCTGTCATTTTTAGCAGGTCAGCTGTGGAATAAAAAGAGCTGCTAAAAGTATAAATAACTGTGTTAAATCATTTTCATTTATTCAGAAGACACAGCGCTGCGCACCGTACACCCCACTCCCAGCGCAGTCTCAAGTAGTCTCAGTTGTGGTTCTGAAATAAGCATTTTAAAATTATTTCAAAATATGTCTGACACTTTAAAGAAAATCCAGGAGTCGCTGGAGGGATTGTGTATCCCCTCTGGCCTGGGAACGACTCAGAGTCCCCTAGGACATGGAGGGTGTTGCCGGGAAGAGCGGGGTCTCTCTGCTGACCCCGCACCCGATCCCGGATAAGCCGGCCAGACGGACAATTTATATAGTTAGTCTAAATTATTACATTTAAAATTATAACTCTAATTCAAGCAGAATATCCTACTGTCAACATAATTATGGAGTGTAATTTATTTTAAACTCAAAATATCTTCAAACTAACAAAATATAAAGTTATTAGTGAAGAAAACCCGTCTGGATAACAGCAGACTGACTGCTGGTAAAATATACGACAGGTCTGGACCACTCGTGAATTTTGTTCGTATCTGAAAAAATCTTAGAATTCGAAAACATTGGTGAATGCCACAAATTCTCCTAAATCACTCGTACGCACAACTTAAGAACAAATCTGTGCGTACGAACGGTTCTTGCATGAGGCCCGTTGATCCTAAACACAACTGAAGCAACACTCAAATGGTTTAAGGGGAACCAGTTAAAGGTCCTGTGAACTCATCCAACTTGAAGGAGCTGCAGCAGTTTGGTCAGTTAATTATTAGATCCATTAATTGTAATCCAATTGAAATTATTTTAAAACTTCAGCTTCTAGGTCACTAAAATGCAAAAATAACCCCCCAAAAGTGCAAAACACTAAACGTGAATGTGTTTTCTGATCACTTGTGTGTTTCAGGTGGCGTGGTGGTGTTTGCTGTGAACTCCCTGCTGTATCTGAACCAAAGTGTTCCACCGTACGGAGTTTCTCTAAACTCAATGACAAACGGGACCACGTCCTTCCCTCTGCGTAAGTGCTGTCGTGTAACGATAATTTCACGTGACGAGGCCTTCCCTCGGGTGTTTTTGTGATGACGTGTTCTGGCTTTGCAGGTGTCCAGGATGAGGTGAAGATCACACTGGATTGTTGTCAGTCTGACTTCATTGCTTATGATAAGATGGTCATCTCACTGAAAGGAGGAGAAATGTGAGTTGTCCTAACCTGCGTTATGAACCTTGTGGTTTTTAACGGTTCCTCACTGGCTGTGGTTGCTTTGCAGTTACGTCTTGACCCTCATAACTGATGGCATGAGGAGCGTGAGGGCTTTTCACTTTGACAAAGCTGCAGCCAGCGTCCTTACTACCTGCGTAAGTTCAGATTTAACTGAGCAACAAGCTGATGATGCAAATATTTCTACCTTTAAGGTTTAATAGATGTAGGCTTTGAAAAAAAAAAACAATTTGTTTATTAGAAATTGTTGCACTTGTTTGTTGTGAGAACGCTCTAACAAGTTGACAATTTACCATTCAAGGTTTGTTTTTTTTGCAAATGTTCCAACTTTAATGGACTTGTGGTTTAAGTGCCAGAGGAACTCCTCACATTGTGTTTTCCTGTCTCTCAGATGGTGACCATGGAGCCTGGCTTCCTGTTCCTTGGTTCCCGCCTCGGGAACTCTCTGCTCCTGAAGTACACAGAGAAACTGCAGGAGACTTCGACCGAGGAGAGCAAAGAAAAGCAGGAAAAAGAGGAGTCCGACAAGCAGGCAAGTTTGTGCCGTGAATGCAGTCTGAACTTAGTCATGAAAAACAAAGTTCACACTTATTCAGTTTGTTTTTCAGGATGTAATAAAATTTTTTAGTCTTTACCAGATTCTGAACTCATTCAAATCTAACCCCAAATGTACAAAAACACATGATTTTATCGTTCATGTCATTTTTTAACTGCTGATTATATTGTATGTTTCAGCAGCTAAAACTAAGTAATGTTTTTTTTTTTTACTTCATCAGTCTAAATCATGGTTGTGGAGGATTTTAGGCCCACTCTTTCTTTCCAGTTTTGCTTCAGATCATGGAGGTTTGCAGTTTCTGCTCAGCTCTAAGGTCTCACTGCAGCATTTCAGTCAGGTTGAGGTTCTGGGGTCTCATTTATAAAGAATTGCGTGGAAACCATACTAAAAGTGAACGTACGGCCAAAAGGCAGAAATGGCGTACGCCAAAAAAAATTCAGATTTATAAAATGTGCGTACGCATGTTTCTGC